GATTTAGGAATGCAAAAAATTCCTATATTCACCCTCTGCCTTTATTTCAAAAGTAAAATCCAAAGGCAGCCAAACATACAACAATGGAAAAATATTCTGTTGTGAAATTAGGTTAGAGTTACGTGCTTGAAGCTTTTTCATTGTTTCATCTGTATTAAAGCTAACCCAATCCAAAGTACGTATACCCTCCCAAATTTTCCTTACTTTAATATAACTTTTGTGTTCTTTCATGACAATGAGATCAAAGGATGAAAATACACTGCAAGACCAAATGTTAATTAGACCTATGAGAGGAATTTTTATATAGTTTTAAGTCAGTTATTCCCTCCCAAATAGGCGGCTGCTGAAAGAAATTGCAGTTTCGTGATTTCTTATCCGCACCCTGAAAAGTGTGTCAATTGGTTTGCTTCAAGGATTTTCGCATCAGTTCTTTACCATCACTTTCGAAATTTCTATCTCTGCTCATGGTTTCCGGTAAAGTTAACACTAATAAGCCGTATATTGTTTTGTAATAAATGACCGCTAAAGCGTCAAAAAGCACATCAACATTCTTCTGCGTCATCATTTCCAAATGCGGCGACTCATGTTTATAAGAACCTTGGCGCAGGTAGTTCCTATCATTAGTGAGTCAGAAAATCACAAGGCTCTCAAAAAACTTTACGATGTCCCAGGAGATTTTTGCTAGCTATGGTGACATGAGTTCTATTGTTGATTTCAGCGGCTGATTGCAACATATTCTAAGCAAAGCAATAACTGCTGCTAAAAAGCACGAACTGTAGAGAGAACAAACACGAGAATTCCTTTTCAAGGGCGAACTGGTTCTGCCAATACAAGACAGTATCAAGGTATTTGGGACGAGCGGCAAGTTCGTCAAATGAGTTGACCTGGTGTCTGCCACATTTTCCTTTGGTCCAAACTTGAAGTCGGTGATATAGGCGCATGCGGTTGCTGACTGTGGTTCGTCCGTACTACCGTAACATCCGCGATTTTCTTCGATTCAACAATGCTATTCTACCTTTTTACATTCTCTCGTTATAGGGGTTCAATGTCAGACGACCAGTTTCATTGATTTTGTCGGCAGATTTTCCTGTATTACTTCTGTCAGTTGAAGAAACCTTGACTGCTCTTCATCTTAATATTTTGATACTTCTTGATAGAATAATTGCGTTATTTTAAAGAAAACAATGTCAATGATTATAGTAAGTGTAGCAGCACACTAGTCCCTCTTCATCTTCATTTTTTTAAAATTTCATTTTTAGTTGCCGGTATCACTGATCTCATCTCTTTGGCTAGTGTGTATTGTTTCGATCAATGTCAGCTCTGCTCAGCCAGATTACGACTCTCCAGATTATGGAAGTTCGTTTTTTGAGTTGTTTTAAGGATAACCGAGCTGTAAGTTGTCTTTATGGAAGAGAGCTAAATATATCGATAGCTGTCTGGGAGTAAATTTACAATAACCTACAATTGCTGTATCCAACAAATGACTTAATTTTTAAGATATGGCGCTGTCCTATATCACTATCGTTAAGAGTTTTGGGATAATTTTGTTTGCTGAAAGGGT